GAGCATTCTACCACGGCCAACCCCAGCAACTATCAAAATGCTGCGGGCACCAGTGTTGTAATTCAGGGTGCCCTTAGGCTTCACATACCCTCTGTCCAGACCTTCGCCCTTCGCCCTGTAAGCGCCAACTGTTGCCCTTTTGGCAGCGCGGGCTCTGGCCTCCCCAGTAAGATTGGCCTTGAAGAATTTCCCATCAATTGCAGCATCAAGACGTTCTGCCCACCAGCGTACTGACTTGGACTTGTATTTGCGCGCAAATGCCAGCCGCGCTTTCACATCAGCATTTGTCAAAAGCGGTTTTTCTCGAAGTCTCCGAAAGTACACTCCTTCCTTGTGCAAGGCCCGCTGGATGCTTTTGACTGACTGTTTCAGATTGCATGCTTTCTTCAACATGGCAGCAGTCACCGTGTAGCGAGCATCTGCCTTCTGCACCAATTCTGTGAGCTTTCGCTTCAAGAAAAGCTACCTTGGCAGGAGTAAGCAGGAGAGGCCGCCCCTGGGCCTTGCGCCCAACTTGCTTCACCAAAAGTCGGGTGATGACAGACTTGTCCCTTCCAAGCTTGTCTGCTATTTCTTTACAGGATTCACCATCTTCATACCACTCCGACGCCAAACGAATCTCCTCAGTGGACAGCTTGGTCCAGCCAGCTTCTGGCATGGCTAACACAAGGACTGTTCAACTACACCAGCCAAACAGCTGTCAAGCACAGGAGCAAATCCTGCAAGGAGACACTTGCAGAGATGTGCGCTGCGTGTTGCACTTCTTCTGTCTTCCAGTGTGAGCGCGCACGCATGTATGTGTGTGTGTGCTCTCTGTGTGTCCGGCGCGCTCTCGTTCGACACAAAAACTTGACCAACCCCGACATGCGCACACACACACACACCAATGGCAGACGAGTGAAGGTGGGAGACTCAGATGTGTTGTGTTTCAGGCGCTCTGCAATCATTTGCAGAAGCATGTGGGTGATAAGCAGACGCAGACATTTTGTTTTCACTGTCTCATTGGAGAAACATGTGGATGACAAGCAAAAAGCTCTCCGTGAGACGGTGGGTGGACAGAATCCTGCACCACCATCTCAGCATTGGGTTGCATGCCCTCGCGCTCCCTTTTTAATATTGGGAGCTGAAAACACGCAGAAGGAAAAGAAGTTGAATGGACGAAATCCTGCACCACCTTTACAGCCCATCAAAGCAACATTGAATATGGGGAGCGGGGGGTCCTTCTACACCCTTGTTTAACTCGTTGATTTAAGCGGTGCAGGATTTCGTCCACCCACAGTATGGAAGGCAATAAGACAGAGTGCCCCAAATTGTAGATACAAAAAAAGAGGAACCAAAAACAGAACATCCGACATCCGTTCTGCAAGCAGTGCTGCTTCATGTTTGGCAATGCTGGGCTTTGTTGATCGAGCGAGCATAAACCCTTCTCCGGCGTGATCATGTTGCAGTTGGGCGAGTAGCACTCCGACATCAGCTGCCCTGAAGGACGTGAGCACCGTACCCCGCATCTGTACGAGTAAAACCAATCTGCATCAAGGAATCTACCGTAACTGGGATGTTCGTTTTCTGATGCCTGCTGAAGGTCGACAACTTTTAGTGGGTTGAACGGAAACCCAACCACCAAACCAACTAAAAACCTAAGACCTACGCAGACGGCTGGGAACCGCCAGGTTTTAGGGGGTCCCCAACAAAAAACACCCTTGCCTGTTTTTTGGATCCCGACTAAACCAAATCCCCCATACCTGGAAGAGGAAGGGCATGGTGTGTGCGTGTGTGTCTGTGTTTCAGTCCCACTGTGTGCTTTGAGTGTTTTTTCTTCCGAAGAAAATGCTGACGCGCGCTCCGTGTTTAGGGTTAAGGGTTAAAGGTTTTGGGTTTAGGATTTAGAGTTTAGGGTGTCCTATGCAGCCGTCACAACCGTTCAAGAGGACGTGGACACGCTGAGAAGGAAGCTCGCGAAAAAAAAATACTCTCAGGCGGGTCAACCTGTGGCATTGTCGTTACTTTCGGTGTCTGCTCTTTGTGGCCTGCTTGCTTGGCCAATAGCTTGGCCTCCAGAGTTGCCTTGCTGCAAATGAAACGCTTTCGCACCATTCCACGCTATTTACAGGTTGGGTCTCCCCTGGTCAGCGGCACCAATCGTTTGTCCCACACTTTCTCTCGTCCAAATTTGGGGAGGAGAGTTTCCACCTTGCAGTTGTCGTCTGGAACAAACGAGAACCAGTTTCCAGTGAAATCGTTCTCCTTGAACAAACAAGAGAGTAATGGTTGGGTTAATGTAATCACCATTGTTTACCTAAAGATTGTCATCATCTAAATTGTGTTCTTGCCATTGAGCTTTTGGGGGTTGAACCCGAGGGTACATATTCTGAAACGCGCATTGGTGTGCATTTGTTTAGGGCCCCTCCAAACATGTGTTTTGGTTTTCTGGCGTCCCTTGAAACCAAACAAAAAAAAAACAGGGGTACCCCTCAAAGAACAGACACGAGCAACTAGGTCCTCCAGTAGAGAGGTGAGAACAAGGGTACCCTTTTTTCCGTAGTCTATTTCAGTAGGGGAACCGAATCTCCCCCAAAAAGGAAACGGTAAAAGTTGGCACCTAGCTGGGGGACCTAACCAACATGGAAGGCTGGAAAAAGAATGACTCAGTTGTTCAGTGACCCTGGAAAAAAAGGAGAGTTGGAACCCTTTTTGGGAAAGACCGAATGTTTAGTGGGGCCACCAAAAAAAAAAAGGGGAACAGAATTGGTGCCACTGAAGAACTGAGATATCTCTAACCAAACAGGGATCCTTACCTGAACATTGCCTTGTAAATGGTGGTTTCCCTTTTTGGGACTCACGTCTCACGTCTCTCCCCTTGCGCCCATAGGTTGCCTCGAGGTCTGGGCCGTACTTCGTACATGGCGGCGGCGTCGAGGGCCAAAGGCGTCTGCTGGATCCGGGACAAGATCACATCCAGCTTTCCTAGACTCAGATGCGCCCAGTGGATGTCCATGCGAACAAAAACAAAACAAAATCGGCATCCGATTTTGTTGGTTGGTTGAGTTGAAAGGAATCGGAACCCTTCCAACCAAAAAAAAGAGAAAAGGGCGGAATTCACTGGGCAACTGGAGAGCATCGGCCCAAGGCCCTGGCAATAAAAGGTGATCACCTTTTGGGACCTCTACCAAACATAGACCAAAAAGGGACAGCCCAAAACTAGGTCCTCCAGTAGAGAGGTTAGAATAAGGCTACCCATTTTTTTCTGGATGTCTACTTCAGTAGGGGAACCCTCCCTATAAAAGGGCACTACTGGGGTAAGATGATAGACCAAAAAGAGAAAATCAAAAGGTCAAACGGTCGATTCGCTTTGAAGAACTGAGTAGAGCCTTGGCCCGGAAAAACTTTCCTCCCCACCCCCTTTACGGGGACGGCTGGAAATGTCACTTGGATTTTCTGGGGTTGCCAGCGGAAAAAAAAGTACGGGTGACATGTTGGCCCGTACAACATGCCGCTGTGTGATATATTCAGTCTACCCAAAAGAAGATAGCTGTGTCATATTCTCACTTCCGATCGAGTGGGTTGTCAACACACGAGTCTAAACCGCTTCTTTGCCACTAAATGGTCCAAGCCCAAAAGTGACTCAAGTCCGAAACAGAACTTAAGGAGACTTCACAGATTCACCAACCTGAAATCAGAACTGCAGAGGCACCTTCATCATTGTCAAACCAGGGGAGCAAAAAAGCGCTGGCTTCCCTTTGGCCATTCAAAACCAACTTGAAAAGGACATTCTCACAAAACATGGCCAAGAGAAAAGGCTTTACCAAGGGCTCTATTTAATATAGGTATGCCACTTTGGAGGGTACCCTTTTAAAGGGAAACCTAAAGGAAGACTATCATGTGGGGGGGGGGGGTTCCCCTTCAAAAAGACGCCCATTTAGTCAACCTTAAAGTAGAACATGGAGACCACAGGAGCATCTTTGGTGCTATCGCTTCATATGGTCAACCCCCAGTTGCTTGGGCGCGGGGGGGGGGGGGGAGATTATAAAACTCGCCACGGCCTGGGCCGAAAAGCATTGGCCGAGTTCTATCTGACAAAAAGGGGAACTCAATTTGTTTCCAAGAGTAATGGACCCCCCGTGACCGATCCATTTCCTGGTTGAAATCTCCAAAGGTCCGAGTGTATCTGGTTGGGTATGCTAACTGGCTGCTACTCACCGTATGATTCCTAAGACGCTATGGATCACTCTAGTTGTGTAATCGATGTTCGAAACCCAAAATAGAAGCTCAGTTCTAGAGCGCATATCACACAGGAGTTAGCCATATCGTTCAGAAAAAAAAAACTTCGACCGTATGAATCATTCACCAAATTTCACGCAGGTTGAGAACCTGCTGCATGCAAGTAACGGAACTATTGAACCCCCTAATTTGCCGCAATTTGCCATGGTGTTGTGGGTCCGTTTGCAATGTGGCAGGAAAATGCATCCGTTGGACCTCCAAAGACACCGTGCCATTTTCCTCCATTTGCTTAAGGTTATGGAAAAAGCAGAACCACATTTCCAGTGAGAAATCGAATCCCTTTCAAACCAATCGGGCACCAACCGGGGAAAACAACCGAAATCTTCTGAAACGCAAAAGTTGCGGTTCACTTGCGAGTTTTCAGAGATCTGAAGGAAAATCGAGGGACCCTGGGCGGGGATCTGACACCTCTTCTTTGCAGTAAAGTCCCCTGGAAAAACGCCGATTTGTGGTCCAATGATGGGATCCCTGTAACCAACCCTCTTTGCTCTGCAGATCCCCGGGCCAAAGTCTAAGTTGTAGTGGAAACTACCACTAAGCCAAGTGCAAAACAACTAAGCACCAAAACCAAAAAAACAAAAAACACCAAAACCAAAAAACAACTACAAACCACCACACATCCTAATAACCTACCAAACTACAAACCACCAAAGAACAAACCACCAAGTAAACACCTAAAAAAAACCAAACAAAAAACCTGAGACACCTCAAAACGAAGACACCTAAGGAACCGGACGGCTGGAAACCAGGGCGCCGGAGCAGTTGCTGGCGGTGCCGAAGGCCAAGCAGTCCTCGCCCCAGTAGTTCAGACCCGTCACCTGGAATGGGAAGCACCCGCCACCGAAAAGGAGCGAGCAGGAGAGACCTAAGCGAACCGCTGGGTTTGGCATAGAGCTGGACCCTCACACTACCTGGAGTCTCCATAACCCCTAGACAAAGGGGTCATTACCCACAATAATGGGGTCATGACCCCAAAAAAACAAGGGTCATGGAGACGCCAGGTACCCGAAAAAACTGGATTTTCCCCCATGGTCTTGGGTTGCCATGACCCATTTGTGAGTGGTAGAAACTCAACTCCGATCCCTGGGCCTCGGGAAGTGAGGCGAGGAAACTCCTCTTGGCTCTTCGATTCGCCAAGTTCGCCGGCGGCTGGCTTTTTGGGGTTTGCCCTAAGAACAAGGTCAACCCCACTGAACGGGGCAACTTATTGGGGTTCTGGCCCAGGCTACCTAGAACTAACTTGGCCGAACATGCAAGTACCGCCACAGAAAAAATATATTATTGGAATCGGCATGTATATATATATATATATGTACATGTATCGTCATATTCTATTATGTTCAGGTACCCTTGTTTGGGTTGTGTTCTGGGTTGCTCCCTCCCCCTGACACAAGCAAAGGGTCGTGATTGATCTTTGTTTGTTTGACTTGCAGGTGTAATGAAAAAACATGAAAACACCATGACATGGTTAGTTGGGTTATCGTTGATTTTTCTGTAACCCCGTCGTTTCGCATGCTTTTGGCACGTTCTACTGCACATGTTGGATCATGTTGGTATGTCATGTCCAGCCTGGTCTTCCAGAGGTTTTGATAGACGCTCCTGTAAACCGAGGTCTCTCCGGGGCCCGTGGGGTCACACCAGCTGCCCGAGTGATCTTTCGCTTGGGCAAGCCTAAACTCGGTTCTTGACCGCCAAAATGGTCTTCCCAAAGTCCGGAAGCTGGGGACGTGAGAAATACCCGGTGTTCTTGCTTGAAGTTGGTCTATGTGGAAGAACCTGGCTTTCCAAGGCAGAGAGCTGTTTTCAATGGAAGGCAACCAGGGATACTCCCCGTCACCACTTACTACGCTTGCAACGTGAAAGACCGGCCCGCCTGATAAGCGGTCAACTAAGCCTGATCAATGGTCACCTTTGTTGGAAGGGCACTCCAAATTTGAGAGGTATGTAGCCATGAATCTAGAGAGGGAACCACCTCAAAAATGGTTGGTGGACATGAATCAGCACCTAAATGATGTCCTAGAAACGGTCCCGCACAAAAATCCAACCACTATTTTGACAAACCCAGGTTCGCCATGGGTAGATAGCTCGGTTGGCATCATTCTCTTAACGCATCGGCAGTCTGGGCGCGACATCGGCCCCAAAATGATCACTTGTTGCTTGTTGAAAGGGAAAATAGAGAAACCCAAACGAAGGGAACTTCAAAACAGGGAAACCCACATGGGTGGCTCGTCTTTTTTTTTGAGAGTACCCCGAGAAAACACAAATGTTTGGTTTGCCAAAATAGGCCCCCCCTAAAATGGGTGGTTCCTGTTGCTCCCCTTGAAAACAGCTATCAAAAGGGGGTAGCAGTTCTGGGCTTGCGAAGTCGAAATCTCCAGAGACGGACATTGGCCTTTGGAAAGGACACCGCGTTTCCCAGGAAGATCCGCAAGGGTTGTGGGGTACTTTGAGCTCAACATATCCCCACAATATCCATCCTCAAGACTGGATCAGACTTAAAGCCCTGGTCTGGTACGTTTTTTGTTGTTGGTTGAACCAAAACAGAAGGAAAACCAAAGGCTTCCTTTCAAAGTAACCTCTTGGACCCAATGGGCCATCTTTCGTTCGCATTTCGCGCTTCGCTCACCACCAAAAATCGGACCCTTGGGGCAAATGGTCAAGAACGCCTACAAAGCCCCTAAGGGCTTCCAAACACAACTTACCCGGAACGGGTAGCGCAAACAGACGCCACATTTTTTCGGCCAGGCCTCAAAAACACGAGTGGACATCCTAGGCGACTTGGCGACTCGATTCGACTCGATTCGAACAACTGCGTGGGCGAAGGATGGATTTCGATGACGCGATGGCGCCTTGGCCACGCAGCAGGTTAGAAAGCTACACTCCGCCGGGTTCCCGGAGGGGCAGTAGTCATCCTGGCCCTCGATGCAGAGGGAACCTCAGCGGGCGGAGGGCTGGCTGGGGTGAAAGGAAATGAAAGAGTTGGTTCAGGTGTTTTTCTTGTTCAGGGGAAACCAAAAAGGGGAGATTTTGAGGCAGGTCAGGTGGACAGGGATCTGGCTGCTTTCCTTGGCACGCCGTCTTTTACCCAGCGGTTCAGTTACCACCATTGAAACTATGGTTGGGAAAAAGTAATCACCATTGTTTGGCTACGTACGGATTGTCATCTAAACTGAGTCAATGATTCTTTAAATGGAGGGAACGCACCCTAAGGAAACGCCTTCTGGGGGTCTCCGAGTTTGAGAGACCTCCAAACATTGCAAGTAAAGTAATTAGACTGTACCACAAGACCAATGAGATGTTCCGGTCATTCTGCCAAGGGTGGACCTTTTTTTTCTGAATACTTGCATTTGGTTTCTTGCATCAAGCGTGGGTTAAAGCTTAAGGGATTCACCTTCACGGACCTTCTGGTGCAGCTCCGATTGAGGGCCAAGAAAAGTCTTTGGCCCACGGGTCCAAACCCTGGTGACTACTGAAAGGGGCAAGGCACTTAGGTGGTTCGTAAGCCCGGTTATAACCCACTGAACGGAGAGTTATCATCTGGGTAAGTGGGTTATACCACTACAATGCCCCGTTAAGTACAGTCCGTTTGTTTCGGAACTCGGGAAGTGAGCTGAGGGTCTGCGGCTAGGGCCTTCCAGCACGACCAAAAGCTTGAGTCTGAAACGACCAAAACTGCCAGCCACCGACTGTCCGTATTCTCTGGCTGGTGACCCTGGAAAAACGGGAACCCTTTTTGGGCTTGGACCATTTTTAGTGCGGTAGCCACCAAAAAAAGGGGAAAAAGGGTGCCACTGAACAACTGAGAACTATATCGTCCCCGAACTGCAATTTTCGAGCTGCACCGTTCAAGTCCGTTCTTTCCTGGGGCCTTCTCTTCAAAAATTGGCCAAACCCCTGGGAACATGTGGGTGTGGCTCAACATTAACCAGGAGGGGTTACGCAGGTTTTGGTCCATGTTTCCACTTGCCAGGGTTCCATTTTGGTACCGGTTTTTTGAGCCACAGCCATGTGTGATGATGAAGAGAATGGGGAATCAACCTTTGGAAATGTGGATGATCAAAACAGGTAGCAGGAACTCCGCTCAAAACGGGGTTCAAAATCGGAGAAAAACAACAAACTACAGGGCAGTCCTTGTCACGCAACAAGAAGGGCCAACAACTTCTCATCACGGAATGCGGGAATGACCAGGGATCTCCGGCTCGCTCTGAAAACCCCCAAAGCATTCCCGAAGAACCAGCAAATTGTTCCTAGTCGGGTATGTGATAAGTTGGGGGACCCCAAATAACTTGTGGTTTCGTGTTGGCTTCCGAACAGCGGCGAAGAAGGGGGACCCTAAAAAATACGGCACATACCCCTCCCCAAATTTGGGCCACTAAATGGTCGTCCCGAAAAGTGACTCAACTGCAGGGTCCGCGGTACATGGGTTTTCCCTTTGGTGTCCCTTTTAAACCAACCCAAAAGGGGTTCCAACTTTAATTAAACTAGGTCCTCCAGTAGACAGTTTAGAATAAGCGTGCCCCTTTATCTGTAGTTTTTTTTAGTAGGAGAACCCTCCCCCAAAAGAGGGCAAAAGGGCACTACTGGGGAACCTAGCAATTCACTTCTTCCGGCATTTCGAGGCGCCGTCTGCGGTGGTGCGGCTACAAGCCCCGCAGTTCTTGCGCTGGAAGTCCCCTGAGGGGCAGCTCACGTGGCAGGTGATGGCAGGTCGCGGCGTTGTCTGCAGCTGGACCGGGTAGGTGGGCGAGCAGTCGTAGTTGTCGTAGTTGTAGGCCTCGCCTCAGGCGCATCGACGACTTCCTGCAGAAAACCTCTTGAAGTGCTATTTAACTCACTTGCTGAGTGGATGGCCCAAAAAAGTGACCAAACTGTATATTTACCACTAAAATGGTCTTCCCAAAAAGTTCAAAGTTCATGAACTCGGGAAGTGATAAATTTGGCACCCAGAAAGCAGCGGGCCAATCCATTTTTGTGGCCTTGGCTGGTCTTGAAACGGCTGAGGCAACCCTGTTCCAACTTGAGCATAAACTCTGATCGAGTCAGAACCAGAACCTGGCACTAAAGGGGCAGCTTGGTTGGTCGATTCGCCAAGTTGAGAAGTGGTAATTGCCATTTCTTTAACCCCCTAACACGGTTGATCCCGCATTCAAGGGAGATTGTAAGTGGGTTGTAGCCTAGGTTGCCAACAACTTACCAACTCGGCCGAACACCCAAGTCGGAACATAGGTGACCTTGTGCAGAAAAATCGATGGGGTTTCTGTTTGTTTAGGGCATAAAAGCAATCTAAAGCTGTAAACATATCCGTCTATTTCCCAAAAACTAACCTAAAAAGGACACTTCCTGGCTGGGCGATGCAACCCCTGGTTGTCATTATTTTATCGAGGTGTTGCCTCACCACTTGGATGAAGGAAGATACCCCTGCTTTTGTTCTCTCCCACCCTAGGCGATTCAGCCCCAAAGCATGTAAACACCCATGGGTTAAACATCCTCCGTTTCTGCCAAAATCGGTTAGATTCATGTTGCTTCCCTTTATGACACATCTGAAGGGCTCCTGTCGGGGTTGGGCGATTCCGCCCTGGTTTCAACATGAACAAAACACCATCCACAGCTCCTGGAGAAAGCTGGGCGGGGGGGGGCCTCCCACCATAACTTCCCTGGATACCACAAAGCGAACACGTAGGGGAAGGGGCCCTTTGAGATACCCCCCGCTCCCTACATACCTTTTATGGATGGTTGTGTCTTTCTTTCGGGGACTGCCCAAAATGGATCGTAGGTGCTCCTTTAAAACCGCAAACTCAGGTACCCTCACAAAGGACCAACCCATAGAGGGGGGGCCGGGATTTAAGCAGCCTCAACCTCCTGTGGCCAGGATATAGTGGCCACTTTTACCATACAAAAAGAGCCTTCTATTCTGAGCCAGGCCCAAATTTAGTCGATCCTGTTTAAGGGAAATATAGGGAACCCTGGGGCAGGGGAAAAGCAAGGCATTTCTTTCGAGCCAGCTGAGCTGGTGGAACCAATAGTCTGTCCTGAAAGATCAATTTGTTTGAGAAGACCGCCGTTATTGCATTGATAGGGGCACGGCAGGGGTTTTGTACCAACTCCGAAACAAAGCGTCGGATTCTGGTCCACCCTGGGATATCTAAAGCACATGTCTGAGAGATTCTGGTCCACCCTGCAATATCTAAAGCAAACGTCCGAGACCCACCTCTGGGTGTGTCTTTTTTGAGGGTGCCCATTTTTTGGTGTTCAAAAGAACATCCAAAAGGAACACCGCCATTTTGAGGGGATCCAAATCCTGAAAAGACCCAGAAGAAGGAATTCCACCAGGAACACCGCCATTTTGGGGTTCCGATTCCTTAAAAAGACCCAGATTCCTGGTGGAGGAACACCGCCATTTTGGGGTTCCTAAAACAATCGGGGGATCTGAAGAATTCCTAGGGGCCGCCTTTTTCAAAAGAAATTCCCCAGAAAGAGGACGCCCCCCAGCACCGCATAGCCAAAGCTCAGTCCAGGTTGTAGGTGGCGTCCGAGCCATCGCAGATCCTGTCCCCATGCCTGAGGGTTGCTTCCAATGCAAACCGAAGGCGCGGGTTTTCAGGGGAAGCATGGGATCAGCCGCTAAAGGGTACATACCAACCGGTTTACTGGGGGTAGCTTTCAGGGAGGGTTCCGGAGAGCGGGTTTTTCAGGGTGGTAGCAAACCACGGGTGGTGTTGTATACCAGGGTGTTGGTTTTCCCCCAGTTGATATATATACCAACCAGTGTGCTGGGGGTAGCTTTGGTTTGGTGGAAACCGTCCCTCCAATTCTGGTCTCCATCTTATCATAATTTGTAGAGTATGTCCCTTTCGCTAATGTGCTTGCCCAGAAATCAACCAATACAAGAACAGGGGTCCTGGGAAACCACAAAATTGTTTGTCAACTTGCAGATGTTCATGCCTTTTGGCTGACTGCTTTTCTGGACCATGTTGGTGGGTTCCGAGCAATCCGGAAAAGAAACGTACTAAAGGAATTCAACCTCCCCATTGGTGATCTGTCCCCAAAAAGCAGCCCCAAGCGTTTGGCCAAAAGGAATCAAGCCAATACAAGAAAAAAAGTACGAAAGAGTTGGGTGTGTGTCAACGGGGGACCCACAAAATGGCTTCAGTTTGTCTTTTTGCTTTCCCTGTACAGTCAATTTCGAAAGGTCAAAACTTCCACACACCCATTGCTCATGTGCCCAAAGGACCCCAAAATCCCAGGTGAACCTTTTGCGGTCCACTAAACAAACATGGGAAACCCAACCTGGCCTGTCCTCAGATCCCCTGCCAGAAAGTGTTCAACATTGTTCAACATTTAGTTAGCGGGCTAAATACGGACATCCCCACCAAACCACCGGAGAAAGCACAGAGGTTCAAATCCGCAAATCGAAGGACTGCAACTGGGATGCATCGTCTCCAGGTCCTTGAAGCACTGCCCCTTGCAGTCCCGGTTCACCGACATGCCGTTGCCCCAGCTGAAGCGCCTGGTTTGCCACTTTTTTTCCTACGCACCCAAAAGCGCCTCCTCTACCTGGAGTCTCCTTCTGACCCCTAGAAAAAGCCCTTGATTGTGGGCGATGACCAACCATTTTTCAAGGGTCCTTAGGGAGACTCCAGGTAGTGCATAGGAGTGCCTTTTAGATAGTAAATGGCCCTGGAAGAGGATTGAACCCCCAGGTAAACCAGGGGGTCTCTACTTTTTTAGAGCAAACCAACCAACAAGGAGGACCTATGCTCTAGTGGTTCCTCCCCCCCCCCTCCCGAAAGAAACAAAATGAAACCCAGGTGATAACCCTCTGGAAGCCTCCGAAAAACCGCCCCAAAACTGGCCAAAGACCCCCCTTCCAGCTGGGGCCTACATGAGGAAAACAAGCATGGGTGGTCTATCACTTCACAACAAAAATCCCTGCCACTCATGGAATTCCTTGATGCCACTCATGGAATCCCTTGCGGCCTGAAACCATTTCCCGTTCCATCCATCTTCATTTCCACAACTCTGGCCTATAGACTGCTTGGGTGTTCGGCTATAGTAAGTTGTTGGTAACCCAGGATCCGGATCTTTCTAGAAAACCTCCAGAAACCCAAGGAAACCAGCGATCGGTGTTCGAAAGGAACGATGGTTGAAAAGAATAGGGAAACAACCCCTAGAGTTATAAATGCAAATGCAAGTCCCCCGTCAATGTGGGGTTAACCTTGCTAAACGGGGATGCACAACCCCAAATCGCGCTCACCCCCAACTTGGCGAACGTATCGTTAGATGTTTTTCAGTGTAGGACTTGGGACCCCCTTGGGAAAGGCAGAAGGTCACCCATTTTCCACCACTGGGCTGTTCAAAGTGGTTCGGGGTTGGCCAATCCGATTTTCCATAATCCATATAGGTATGTCATGACAAAGGGGACCAAATCCGTGTGTCCCAAGGCAAGGATTCAGGATTACTTTTGAACAGCCCAGACAGAAAGTGGAAAGCAAGCAACTTGCAAAGAGGATTCCAACTTCCCCGACAAATTGCCATCCCTCTTGATCGGGTGGTGAGGGTAGGTCTAGGTTGTTTGGAGCCGAATCGGTGCTTTGGAGGTTTGGGGCTTCACATTTACCCACACGAGCCAGACCACCAATCCGCCATTCACTCCCGATCCAGAGAATTGGCCAAAGAAGTCCAAACTTTTACTATGTCCTCCAGTGGAGAGGTTAGAATTTGTTCAACCTTTTTCTGTAGTCTACTTTAGTAGGGGAACCCTCCCCCAAAAAAGGGCAAAAGATGGCACCACTGGGGGACCTAGCAACCAACTGGCCAGCCACTTACTAGCTTGGCGAATCCAACATCCAAGAACCCCATCCCCCGGCTCGTCCAACATGGCCTCATCTCACAGTCATAGTCGAAAGAACTGATCCGGCCAGCACGGTCCCTCGTGATGCTCAGGAAGTAGCCCGCGGTGTCAAAGCCGTTGTACGTCACCTTCCACCAACAAAAAGGGCCGAACAACGGGCCTCCCTTGCAGATTAACATGGAACCTCAGTAACTTGTTCGGCCGCTTTAAACAAGGCATCTCCTTTCTTAAGAACCCTTTCTTTGGTCCCTTCTGTGAATTTGCAGAGCATGGCCGCTGTTGTTGCTTTTGTGGTTGGTCCGAGGCTAGAGACAGAAATTAAACTTTTCAACGTACAACTATTCAGAGGCCTGGCCAAAGCAAGTTCTAATTTTGGAAGGTAAACAGGTAAATGACAGTGCAACATGAACTAACCAAGAATGCTTGTTCTGGAAAGCTCTTTTGGTACCACAAACACAACCCCCTCTTCCCCCCAAAAAAAAGAAAGAAAGGGAAAAACGAAACAAGAAACTAAGCAAACAACAAATATGTAAAGAACATCTAACAAATCGAATATGGGTGTCTTGACTGGACCGGTGTGCGGGCCTGCAACAGGCTTCTGTTTGCTTTGTGTAACCAAACGACAAGCATGTGAATCTCATTCGGGGGGTAGTGCAAGGGAGATTGCAAGTTCAGCAAAACATGAAGTCCTGAAAGTCAGGAACTGGGTCTGCGCAGCGCCCACATGCCCCCACTTTGCAGCCCGTATTTCTTACATGATGATTGCGATTCTGAGTCCAGCACGGGTCCAGGTTTGTATCATCTGTTGAATTATTAAGGAAATCCATGGAAATTGTATAAAAAGGGCCCCCCCACAATGTGAACCAGAAGCCCAGTGGCCATGGGAAAAGCTGGGTACCTTGTTGTACTGTGGGCAGTTCCAAATGGAGCGTTGGCCAATCCGATTGTCCGTAATCCCTCTTGGAAAGCCAGTGAGGCTTTGCAGACTCCGGCCCAACTAAAGCTGTATCTAATTCCCGAATTTGTCCTCAATCCCGCAGAGCGGCCACCTACAACTACATTGTCCTGCCAACAAAAAAAAGCAAACACAACTCATGGGAAACACATCCCTGCCAAAAAACAAAGGCCGCTGGTTGGCCCCCCTTTTGGGCGCTTTCGCTCAAACGACATGCAGTCCATCTGCGACTCTGCTCTAGAAAAAGAAAGTAAAGCAAACGCAACAAATAAAAATGAAAAGAACAATCATAAAAAGAAAACAAAAGAAAACAAATAAACAAAAGAACAGAACAATAACAAACAAGGAAAACACACAAGAACATAAAAAGCAAACGACAAAAGAAACCAACAAACACATTATATAAAAAAGGATTCGCCTTGATTCCGGGGGGGCGGTCCACCGTCACCGCCGGGTTCACCGAGGGCTTCCAAAAGAACTCCACGCGGATGGGGTGCAAACCCGGCTGCACCTTGAGCCTGCGCCCGAGTCTTCCACTAGCAATTCGCCCCCTGGAGAAAAACATGAGAAAAGATGTCCCGTAGATGTTTAAGGCCAACAAATAAAAAATAATTTCCTTGAAAACCCATTCTTGCTGATTGGTGGGTTGGATGGCAAATTTCCAGAAAAACAAGAGAGAAGAAAAACAAAAACAGATAGCCATTGGGTGTGGATGTTCAGCGGTTGGCCCCGAACATGGACATCAGCATGTGGGGACCTACTGTGGATGGTTGCCAAATCCATTTCGCACCGTTCAGAAACCCTGGAAGGATTCGATTCCCTTGCCACTTGCAAATACCAACAAACAAGGGGTTCCATGGGTTCAAAGTGGTGGAGGATTTTGTCCACCCACTGTGTTTCCAGTAGCGAAATCGATTCCCTGTAAAGTGAGCAAAAGGATGGATCTGTTCGGCGACTAAAGTTTTAGCTGATTGGTGGGTTGGAGCCCGGTGGTGCTTAAGGGCTGGTGTCCCATTTGTGCGCACACAAGTTTCAAGGGAACACACGCGCAAAATGACGCCTCGAAGATGTGTTTGATGGAATATGCACCCACGATGTATAGCTATATCAAGGCCATATATTAAGTTCTCCCCCCGCGCGGTGGTTTGAGGGGAATTACTGGACACCATCTTAGAAACCCCCAAACAACAGCTGGCTTCCTTTCGGTTCTCTATATGGGTTTGTCTGTTGAGGGAGCCATTCATATGCCCTTTTTGGAGTCAGGTAGGAATCGAACCACCTACAATGGCCTGGCCAACGGCGCTTTCTAGACTCCAAGGTTTGTCTTTTGGGGGGAAGCCCCACAAAATAGGTGCCCTTTTGCTTGCCTGGTTTCTGGAAAGAGTAGCCTCAAAAATGAAACACATCCATATTCCCCCTTTAAGAACATCAAAACTTGGTTGCCGTTGACCCCTCTGCGAAAAGCTCAATGGAAAACGCCTGATTTCCCGAAAAGTTACAGTCTACAGGTCCCATTAGCAATCAAGAAAGTAAAATACATGGAGACTCATTTTCACTGGGCCAACTCCCTCCTAATACAAGAGGTTTCCATCCGTGGAAAACCCTTGGTTTTTCACACCATGGGCTTGCCTCATCGTCTCGAGACACCTCCAAATGCGTGTTTCTTTCGTTGGCTTCCTGTTCAACCCCAAAAAGGTAGTACCCTCAAACAAGGCAGTCATTTCTCAATAGTCTTTGGGGTGGGGTGGGGTGGGGTGGGGACGATAGCGTTCATGAGATGACAGGTGACCGCTCTTTGGGGTGGGGTGGGGTGGGGTGGGGTGGGGTGGGGTGGGGTGGGGTTGGTTGCATGGCCATGTTTCTTGGCAACCGATACATCAAATCTCCACCATACCCCGAATATCCACCTTGGTGGCTTGTATTCTTTTAAAGAACCTGTGGACCCCCAAACTACCCATACAAAATAGAGGAATCCACCAACCACAAGTGTGTCTGGTCACAACCCATTTTTGACTTGCAATGTTGTGGATTTCTTGTACCCCGATCATCATGTTTGAGTCAAGCCTCACGCTGAAACGCGAAGGCTCGGCCATGAAGCTTCAAGTTGGGAAGCCGAGCATTTTAGCGTCGGCTTCAAGGGGATCCGACGGCAAAACGGATCCGAATTGCTTGAGCCCCCTATTTTTTTAAAGCACCTACCCAACTGGACCTGGATTTTCGACGCTTGATGTTTCAAAGGACACCAAAAGGAAACCAAGCGTTTTAGAGGACCTATTTGGAGAAGCCAAATGACATATCCGCCATGTTTCAGTGTATTTAAACTCACGGGGACATGAGTTGGTTGGAGCTGCACCCTACTGTGGATGGAAACTAAACATGTCGCACTGTGCCCCTTACCCCATAGACGCGTTTTAGGCCAAATCCCCTAAGAGGCACCATGGAAAGCCTGGTTCCGCCTCCCATCATAGAAACCAGCTACAGGGAATGCAGGACATGAGCCACCCAAAAACGAGGATTTCTCCGCAAAATCCCTTTTTTCCCGGCTTCCTCACTTCCTGAGTGGCTTTAAAAGAAGCCCGAAAGGTCGATTTGTCACTCTGGTCCAAACCCAAGGCTCAAATCCATGGACTCAGGGAGGGAGATGTTAGCTTAGGAACGCGCATAGGGCTTGATTCCTATTCCCCCTTTTTTTCAACCAACGTTCTTTTCAAAAACCGGATCCGTTTGCCCTGGTTTTTTCTGATGGTTTCCTGAAAAGATTCGGATCCCAGAATGGAATTGGAAGGTAGCCCTAGAAACATAGCATGCTCTGTGGATGCAAAAACCGGCGCCTGATTTGCGAAACCCCAGCTCCTTCCTGGCGGAAGGCTGAAAGATTTCTTTTAAAGCGAGCGCTTACTGCAGAGAGTGGCCCCTCGCAGCCCCGAGCCCAACGTTCTGCGGATCAGAACACATCCCAGGTAAACCAAGGTGGACATTAGCCCCCAGTGTTTTAATGGTGGGCCCCTGAGTACTTGGGTATTCGATTCGCCAAGAGAGTAAGTTGTTGGAAACCTAGGCCCTACTTGGGTGTCCGATTCGCCAAGATCGTCAGTTGTTGGTAGAATCCAACATCCAAGCAAGGCCTTCCATTTGCTTACAAGAGTTGTTTTGTTAAGTGTCCCCTGTTGGTTCTAAAGGGAATCTATCACTATTGGAAATATGTGTTTTGGTTCTTGCAACTTGTCCGTCCCCTGAAGTGGGGATAAGCGACATACCTGTTACTATGTTTTTTTTTGTTTTTTTTTTTTTCCCAACCCAAGTGGCTAACCACGTGCTAACTTGGCCGAACATCCAAGTGGTGAATCCATGGTTGAAACCAGAACGCTTCTTGGAATTTCGTCCATCAGTATTTCCTGCAACTGTGAAAAGGAAACGGTTCAAGAACTCCAACACCTGAAATAGGAATCCCCAAGTAAAGGACCGCGGTTAGATGGCTTTGGCACCCCAACAGCAAACATGGGTTATGCAACCCCTGTCTCATAGGTGTTGGAAACATAGATCGCACTGGTACATGTTTAGAACAAAATTGAAACCAGTGCCATCCTTACAAGTGAATAACTTTCAGTAGGTTGACTGAAAACCAGACCAACTAAACACCCGAACAAAAACTAAGTTGAACCACATGGCCCAAAGAAAACCTCAAGCAACCAAACTGACCTAAGGACACCTAGCCTGCCCTTGAATTACACCCTGATTCCGTGCCGGTGGCTCCTGGGCGGTACTATAGACCCAAGAAAGGAAACCAAGCATTTGGCGAACTTGGCAAGTAATCCATGGTTGTTCCATCTGCTGAAACCAACCATCTGCTGGCATGGATACTGCTGAAGTAATCCATGTTCCATCTGTGGAACTTTCAGCAAATGGTCTCAAACCACAGTTTAACATGTTCCATCTGCTGAAATGAATAGTTGTGTTTGTATCCCCTGTTGGTGGGTACAAAAAGGAATCGATTTCACTGGACATAGATTCTGATTTTTCCAGACTCATATGGGCATGGAATCCAGGATCGGCATCTTCCTGGAATCGGACCCCTTTCTTGGATTCCATGCTTGGATGTGCGATTCGCCAAGCTAGCAAGTGGTCAGCTATTTGAGGGTTTTCACCCCCTAATAAAAAGGTTAACCCTCACATTCACGGGGACTATTGAACGGGTTATAACCAGGTTACCCGCCACTTACCAACTTGGCCGAACATCGGCGCAAAGTCAACCCCCAAAGATACAGCGCAGAGAGGCCACCATGAGCGCCTCAAACATAGAAGCCACACAAATTCTCTCGAGTATCCGCAGCATCGGCCAGAACTCAAAACCCCGCCCCAAACGGATTTGACTCAGCTGTCACTGGGCAGATGACAAAAAACAAATGCCGACGCCAAAAGAGAACGGTTCTGCGGTCATCTTTCAAAGTTGAGAATGTGAGCTTTCGGTACCAGCCAAATGGAGAGCCCAAGATGTCTCTTTCGTAATATAATTTATTCTCTGTTCATATGCTTCTACAATAAAAACATATCAAGTCCCAAAAAGGGACGAACAAAACAACATATTATAGTTGAATATATATATATATACATATATATATATATATATATATTTGTGGATGATACAGCGGGCACGCATTTGATAATCCATTCCTATCTTCATTCAACTATAATAACCCTTCAAAATATGTACATGGGTAAGTGACAGGAAAGATACGTAAGCCCTGAAGCAAAAAGTTAAGGGAATGTCAAGGCACTGGCCGTTTTGTCCCCTTCACACCTATAATTAGTCTCATTCAATTTAAGGTCTAGGTCTAAGGACTCAGTCGCCCAAAGGACCCAGAAATAAAAGGTTAACCTTTTGGGGCCTTTACTAAAAAAAGACCAACATTGGAAAACCAAAAGGTTAAACGGTCGGCTTTGGGCAACTGAGAGGATCCTTTGGCTCACACCAAAGACCAGCCATAATCCCAAATTAATCTTTCATTTGTCATCTCTTTCTTGTTGACTGAACCCTGAAAGTGGGATAAACATGGGTATCTCAATTTCCTCATTCTTTGAGTGACTCAGCAATGTGTATTCTGTTTGCTCGGGGGGGAGTTTTACTAAAAGAAGACACACCCATATGCCCAAAGAAACAAATCGTTGACCTTGTGGCTTTGGGCAACTGTTCATATAGCCAATCTGATCGCTGGCTCTCTAGTCCTACCAATTGATCATACTAGATCAATGCAAGTAAAGAAGACACAGCCAGAAGAGTATCCACTGCGACCCCATTTTCTTGGTTGACGATGGAAGTTGGAAGGGTAGCAAACATTTTCTATTGCAGCCGCTAAGTGGTTGGATTTCAACCACTAAACCACCATCAGCAAAGATGTGTCCACTGATTCCCAACAACAACCATGTTTCCTCTCGTGGACGCGTCGATCTCCCGAGAAAAAAAAACTCGTCCCAAAAACGCGTCCTGGATCCCGTCGTTCTCCACGAAGACGCGCTCGCCCTCCTGGCCGCGGCCGCCCAGGGTGAGGCGGCCCCCGTCGTCGCTGGTCAGGGAGAAGAGGTACTCCCCGCCGTTGACGATAAGAAAAAAGCCTCGTTGCTTGGCTCAGATGCCTCCATTTGCTTGAGTCCCTTGGAAAAAAATAGTCCAGTAGTGATAGATTCCCTTTAAAACCAACAATAACAATTATTCTTAACCAAATGGACCCGTTGTTGGTTGGTTGACTTTAAAGGGACACCCCTTCCCCAAAGAAAGAAACAACTCAGAAGAAACAATAATACAAGCCAGTATGTGCCATATTCGTTGTTTTGTTTGGTCGGTACCCAGAAGAAATAATAATGAAAGCGAGGTTGTTTCTTCATATTTGGCCAAGTCGGAAACGCAGCAGTCTTTTACTTGTTCATTTTAGTCAAGGGCAAACATGTAGTCCCAAACGTTGACCGTCTGGGATTGTAAGGGGCAACCACCTGGGGTGGCTGTTCTTCTGGTACCTTCAAAAAACAAGCCCCAATGGATTTGCCTCCCTTCGGGACTCGGGCGGTTAGTAACACTGGCAACTGGCAATAACCCACTTACCATGTCCTCTGAGGTTGTAACCAGCACTTAGCCAGCCCAACTGTCCGAAAAGATCCAAGAAGCATGGGTTCCCGCAAATCAACGCCATAAGCCAGAAACACACACAAGGAGCAAGGAGTGGAGGCTGTGGGTTAGCCTTCAGCTGGCGTACTTTTGTTTCCCGAAAGATCAGGGTTTGGGGCCTGCGGAACAGACTTGCGTGGCTGGGCGGTCCGTTCTCTGATCCCCTGTTAACTTGTGGAATTAATGGGCACTTGTTTTCTTGTCCTCAACCCGAGAGAAAAAAAAAGGACACCTAAAAACCCGACCGCTAAACCAATCAAAAACCACTAAACACGTCAGGAACCAGACGATCCGCTGGGCATGGGAGCGTCTCGCATGGCAAAACAAGAGCGTTGGCTTCGCTGCTGAAGCCCGGCCAACAAAAAACACAAGGTTTGTCGGCTTGAAGTCCGGCCAAAACAACCCCACAAGGTTGGTCAAGTAGAGAACCAACAGCTACTTCGGCCGAGTGGTGGATTGGAGCCCCAAGCTGCACCCCAATTCATTTGGTGTCCCCGAGTTCGGGGCTACGGCGGGGAAAGCCTCCGGGGGGGGGGGGGGGAGGGGGAGCTTGTTTGATAAATTGCTCCCGGTGACTTAAATTGAGGCCATTCAACTCCCTGGCAAAGAGCCTGTGAGACAAACCCGGAACAGAAGGAACCACAAACCCATCTGAGGAAACTCCGAAACTGGGAATCGGACCTTCTTGTGCTTCCATTCAGTTGGGAAGTACGTCTCCCTTTCAGAAAGGAAGCTTTCGAATCGCTCGCAACAGCAGAGGGGCGAGGTCGATCAACTTGCCGCTTGCAAACTATCTTCTTCATTGCCCTAACAGAAGTGTTTGACCAATGCTCGGAAAAGGATTGGCCACAAAAGTCTGAACTGTTTATTTTACCAGAAAATCGTCTTCCAAAAAACAAAGAAGAAGTCCAGGAACTCAGGGAGTGAGAATGCGGGGACACCACTGTGGCTAAGCCATGAGAGAGAAACATATGCACTTTGCCGCTGGTCGATGTTAAAGGTCAAGATGGCTTCCACCAACACACTACCGGACCAGAGGAAAATGAGGCAATGGCTGGAGTGAATCCCGAGCAACCCCTGGCGGAATTGGACACGTCCTTAAATCCACGCTAGCAGGCCATGTGGTGGCTATGTAGTGGCTCCATCTCCCAGTAAACTCCTGAAGGTCGACCCCTGATTCACCAACCCTCACTTATTTTTCAGGGCGGGGGGGTTCTCTGTTTTAAGTGGGGATTGCTTTCTTCCAGGGAGAACCCCTGGTTAATCACCTGGCGGGGGTCTTTTGATCAGGGATCGAAATTAGTGGCTAGAGGGCAATGTTGACCCCATATTGATCAACCCCTGTTTATTCATAGGGGGGTGTTCCCCTCCAAAAGTGGTCCGATTCCCCCCCAAACCCAGGTAAAAGCACCCCCCCTATTGACAAACTGGGGTTGACTTGTCCGGGGTCAACATTAGTGGAAACCACCTTAGAGATCAATGAAGACCCCGCCCCCCCCCCCCCCCGCTTTCAAAATCCAGCAGCCATGCCAGCGGATGTAGACTGGTCGGTTCAGCGTCTCAATCTCTGTGCTGAAGGCGCCCTGGAAACAGGGCCCGACTTCGACGTCGACAAACATTTGCTGGTAAAACAAAGCGAAGAAGATCAAAACAGCGTGTCTGGTTGAAAATCAATATAAAGGAGAGAGCCGAACAGGAAACAAGTGATATCTTTGTCAGCAAAGTCTGATGTTAAAAACACTCAACCACAAACCATGGTGGAGGTGCTGCTACTTCTCGTACACTTGCAATATGGCGAACGGGGCATCCACCGTATCCAGTCTCAGAGCCAGTGTAAGTCACAATCAAAACTTGGTAGTAAAGTGGTTTACCGAAAACCGCGCAAAGACTCGAAAAGGAGGAGAAGGCACCCTATATATTGCCGGGATTATGCCTAATCTTCATCTACCCGGGTTGTGATTGTGGCTCACATGGCAGCAATGGCTCCCCTTGGCCTCAATTTGGCTTTTCAGTCCATGATAGATGATAGCAAGCCGCAAATGAAAGGTCAGAAGTCGATTCTGTTTAGACCAGAAAAGTGTTCGGATGGTTTTAAATGAGCCACGGCCGTTCTAAGTGAGGGTTCCCTGTGAAGCTGGTTAAAAAGAACAGGTCCCAAATTTGTACCCTGGTATCGTGTGTGCCCTGGTATCGTGCCACTATGGTTCACAAGAGGCAGGGGCCCTTTTTGAACAACCCCCTGCTTCCAGGGTATGCTGTTGACCCAGGTCTTCAAAATTTATTCATACACCCTAGATGTCCTTGCCCCCATTATCAAGAATGCTTGACCTAATTTAGATAATGACAATCCTGGCCATATTTACCCTCATTGTTTTAAACTTTAATTGTGGCCTGAACCTCAGGCAAAGATAATTTTAATAGCGAACCACCTCCCAAGTTGCTGGTGGCTGGAAATCCAACCACCGAACTCTGTACAGTCAAGGGCCCACCAACAAATCATCCGATTTCTCAAAGGGGGCCCCTACATGCTTGGTTTCCTTCTGGTTTCCTTTAAAACACCAACCGAGACACGCGTCCATTTGGGTTTGTGAACTAACATACCCCAAACATTTGGCGGTTTTGCGATCTTGATTCCCTTTCAACCGACCCCTTTGGACGCCAAGCCTCGACCAAAAAAAGCCACACGCCGATGTTCAAATGTCCCCTTTGCATGCATAGGCGGCCTTTTTGAAAAGATACATGGCCCTGGCAAATGGAACAAAGCCCATCTCAACCAGTTGAACCCCATCGCTTTTTTCACCAGGCGCACCGATCAAAAGCACACCTCTGGTTGCCTGGCCAGCGGGCTGGGCTTCCCAAAATGCGTTCGGCTGGGCCTCTCCAGGCCCGGTGTCTATGAAGGAGTCGTCTGCCCGGTACAGCAGCTGGGCGTCCGGATAGGCCTTCCTCCAGGGCGTCCGAATCCAGCGGATTTTTTTTACCTGGGATTCATAGGACCGTTTTTTTTTTTCATCCAGGGCTTGGGGTGGTATGTTGCTATAACAAGGGGTTGATGAATGATTCTAGGGGTTGATTCCGAATCCATGCACTTCAGCCAGCGTTCTTGTCTCACAAACCGGATCCGTTTTGCCTGGGAGTCTAGACGGGGTTTTACCTGGGACTCATAGGACCGGTTTTTTTTTTCATCCAGGGCTTGGGGTGGTATGTTGCTATAACAAGGGGTTGATGAATGATTCTAGGGGGTGATTCCGAATCCATGCACTTCAGCCAGCGTTCTTGTCTCAAAAACCGGATGGAGGTTTTCTGGAAAGAAGGATCCCTGGAAAGAATGGGGAAGGTACCCCTAGACATCCTGCTGCCGAATCAGAGTCGGAGCCCAAACATGGATTTCTTTTTGAGTGTCTCTTTAAAAACCAACGCCAAAACACAGCTGAGCCTCAATAAAACACAAATTGTTCTCTCTAGTTCCCTTTCCAACATCCCACCAAAACGAAACTCCCTTTAAATTGGCCAGATTGCCCCGCAGTTGGTGATGCTCAAAGCCACCCTCAGCGGGGAAACATAGGGAACCCAAGTGGGAGCCCCATCAGGCAAAATAATTCACAAACCGAAATGGATGACATCTTGAAGCCCACTAGACAATGGCAACCTAAATCTCACTTGCCCTCTAGCGACCCAGAAACAAACGGTGTAATCACCTTTTGCGGCCACAAAACATGGGAAGCCAAACAAGGGGAAACACACACACACACACACAAAATGGTCAAAAGGTTGGCCGCCTGGGCGAACACCCTCTTTCCAAAAATCATGGAAGTGGGTAACTCATAAAACCGGACACAGTCAGTATCTCTAAGTAAGGTTGTCTTCATCTAGGTCGTCCAGTAGAGAGGTTAGAATAAGGGTACCAACTATTTTCCGTAGTCTATTTTAGTAGAGGAACCGAATCTCCCAACCAAAAAAGTTGGTAAAAGTTGTCTCCCTGCTTGATCCCCCTTTGCGATCCCCCGTTTTGCGGCAAAACGGATCACCGATCCGTGCCTATTGGCTTCTCCTTTCCAACAAAAGCAAGGGACACCACGACAGCCGGAAACCTGGCAGCACTAAACAAACACAAAAAAGGGCGACCTCAAAACCGTTTTCCCCCCAAAAACACCGAGCATAACAACTTCACAACCCCGGCTGAAAAAAACAAAAAACGGAACGGTCCTCACGTCACCCAGCAGACTCGGCACCGGAAGATTAACCGGATTGTCCAGGGTCACATCGAAGACCTGTGGACCAAGCGTGGCCCACCCGTTTGTCCAGATTTGAGGGAAATGCTTACTTCCTGAGTGGGTTAACTACGTAGATGGGTCATGTCCACCCTTCCATTTGCTTATTGGAAAAAAGGGGCAAAAATTGCCAGCAGGTGATAGATTCTTTTTCAAGCCAACAAGGGAAACTAAACAACAAACCTGAAGCAAATGGACGCAAATGCTCACTTCCTAGGATTAACCAACAAAAAGCAGCCAAATTTTTGTGTTGGCCCACTAAAATGGCCACCAAACCCCAAAAGTGACTCAAGTCCGAAACGGGACCCGGGAAGTGAGTTGGGGTTGTGTTAAGGGCGCACAAAAGCCCGTGTCCCCTTTTCATTTCTCTCTAAACCGCTCAACAATGGGTACCCTCACAAAACACTGCTCCATTGGGAGGAATATGGCCGAATTTGAATGGGGAACCACAACCAACACATGAGTCATGAGTCATGGCCTACCCAAAACCATGTCAGGATCAAAGCGGATACCCGCCTCTCTTTCAGGTTGGGATCTGACCTAGACCTCTGAGCAGCGTTGACTTCTAGTTCTGCTAACTTGGCTATAATTGCTTTATCCACAGGTTACAATTCGTCCTGGCAGTAGAACCACCCAAGCGAGATCGAAGCTCCACGAAGAGTGACTCCTTCTTTTTTGGCCATGGGTCAAAATCCAAATCGTACCCCCAGTGAACATCCCAAGCCCCACTAAAATAGACTAAAATGGGTGGTGCACCTACCCTATGAAGCGCAAGACCCCGAATTGGTAGTCCGCATCGCCCGTGGTGAATCGGGAGCCTTAGGGATGAGGTCATTCCTATAGGATATGGCCACGTTCTGACTTTCCAAGGGAGCTGGAGCACGGCATCCACTTGTTTAAGTCCCCTGAAAAAACAACAAACACACAAACTACAGTGTATGGACGAAATCCTGCACCACCTAAGGAACCCTGGAATAATTGGATTCCCCTGTAAGTACCAACAAACAATGGTTTCAACCATGGTTTCAAAGTGGTGCGAGCAGATTTCGTCCATCCACAGAAATCGATCCCCTTTTAAAACCAAGGAACATGTCAGCATAGTCTTAAGCAAATCGAAGATTTCACCCACAGGGCATGACAAAACCCTACCATGTTCTCACCGACCTGGCTCCGGAAGGCTCTCTCAATTCTCAGTTGGGAACCGTGTCCCAGCTCCGCTCGGCTCCGGCGTGTTCATTGCTCGGGGGAACTTCTTTGGGCTGCCTAACCCCCCCCCTGCATGTCCAGTGAAATCGATTTCCTTTTCAATCCAACTGGTTTTCTTTAAGTATCGTTTAAGACGCAATTGCTTTTTGTTTGTTTGTTTTTCTCCAAACATCCAACTGGTTTTCTTTATTAAGCAAAATACTACTGAGACGCAAGTGGAACACCTGCCTCCTTGATGAGGTTCTGAGATCGCGGGAAGCCCAGCTTCGAGGTCGGTACCGTGATCAGCAGGTCCTCGCGCTTCGACTCGATTTGGGCAGAAGGGATCGAGCCGGTCGACCCGCGTGCCGAGCTGTAGCCCTGGGGCGCGCGGACGAAATCGCTTTTTTGTTCATTGAATTTTCATTGAACCTAAGGTTGATCCCATATGAACAAAAGATGAATGTTGTCCTTGATGGGCAATACTAGCTACCTATAATTATATAATGTTGATCCCATGTTAATGAACGCCCTGAGGGGCCAAATACTTTCAGATCGCAACACTCCTATCATAACTACATCTGGTTTCAATCCTACCCCATCCTCATTCTTTAGGCCCCCTTCCGTGTGGAGCTGGGTCGAGGACGACTTAGCCCCTACTTCAAAAACAACTTCTTGCCGGATGGGAAGAAAAGACTTGGCATCAGGGTGACTCGCTCGGGCTTGCAAGGCTTTCTGCAAATTCATGATGCAACCACCCCCGTACTAAAATGATCTATGCATATTTTGACCGTGGCTCATCTGGTTTCAAACCTACCCCATCCCTATTTTGTTTTAGGCTTTTGGGGGAGCTTGCTGCGAGCAAGCCGTCGCTGTCCTCAGTATCTGGGCCCTTGTACTTGAAGTACAGGTGCCCAGTGCCTCCGCGCTGGAAGTACTCGATGCGCAGCGGGTGCAAGCCCTGGTTCAGCCACCTGCGGCGGGTGTGTTGGTCAAAACCGTTTTGCTTGATCCCATTTTGGTTGGGATGGGTGAATTCACCACCCATTTTAGGCTTCCTATTTTAGTGGGGATTGGGATGTTCACTGGGGGCTAACCGGGCTTTTGACCCATGGCCATTTAGGTCTAGAAAACGGTTTGGATGTGGCTTTTGTGGAACCACCGTTTTAGGATATTAAAATAGTATTAAAAAAGTACCAAAAAGGAACCTGCAAGGGGAAAAACAGGTAAATTCCACAAACAGCGCATCCAAACCGTTCTCTAGATTGGGTGGGGATTCATGTCCACCAACCACTTTTGAGGCAGCCCACAGCTAGCCTAAAACTCACTTCCTCAGCGCGTTGGCCAAGAAAAGTCCGAACTTCTTGTGTACCACAAAAATGGTCTTCCTAAAAAAGTTCAAAGTCCAGGAACTCAGGGAGTGCGAAAAAGTGTGAGCCATCAGTGCGGGAGGTACAGATTCGCCCAAATGCTCAGAGACTCCTCGAACGACGAGGGTCCAAGGCACTTTGTGAAGCAATGCCTCTGTTCTCGCGATCTCAGCATATGAAATTTGGGCCCCTCAGGTCCATTTTCGCCTGTTTGCAGTGTACAAGCTGTCACTACAAACCAACGAATTGCTCTCCAGTGAAGATAGTACCAAGAGGATAGCACTTACACCCCTACTTCAAATATCCATCTTCATGGGGTAAGTATGATGTTTGCCCCTGATATCCCCGGACCAACGCATCAGGTACCGGCGATGGAAAACCTGCTTGTCTCACAACTACGGCAAACTAGGGCTGAGCCACGGCCAAAATTACGAAGGGTTCCCCTAGAGGACGTACTGTGGATGGACAAACTTTGCAAGTTGGCATATGGTTTCTCCCAGCATTTCTGGGGCTTTATCTATCCCTACTGTGAAGTCTGGCCAAGTTCAAAACCAATCCTGGATTTGCTTGAGTGCCCAATAAAAATAGGAATAGTAATAGTAATAGTACTGAGAATAATCATAACGAACATAATAATGGTAGCAATAAATAATACAGTGGATGGACGAAATCTTGCACCACTTTGAAACCACGGGAAACCATGCTGGTATTTACAGGGGACCTATCATTCCAGGGTGTCTTAGGTGGTGCAGGATTCGTCCATCCACGGTAGTATCATAATATATCATAGTATATCATAATATATCATAATATATCACAATAATAATAGTATTGATGACGAGCATAATATATGTGTCCAGTGAAACAGCGAAATCGATTCCCTTCAAAACCAACGCGGGGGAAAAACAACACCACGTTCTTAAGCAACTGGAAAAATCTATGGGGACCCCCCCAGAATGAGGGCCGAATGGAAGCATCAACAATCCAAATGGAAGAACTTGGGGCGACTCGACGAGTGACTCGGAAACGGGCTTTCGCTCTTTCGACGGACCGCCTGGTGCTTTCCAGAACCTGCCGTTGACCCGCGCTGCTGCAGGTGCCTGGCGATTCGTTGCCCCTTGGTTGAACCATCTCTACAACTGGTAGCAAACAACTTTTTTTGCAGCCCCCCCAACAAAAATGAACAGAACCCAAACAAACAAGCTAAAACAAAAAACAACACAAACAATGAACAGCACCAACCAACTGGACAGCACCAACCAACTAAACGCCAACACAATTGCCAGGAACAGCGAAGCCATCCGCCTGAACCACAGGAAAACCAGTCGAAGAGCCAGTCCAAGGGTCTGCCTATTCTGGAATTACGGCCTCTGAACAACCACCCTGTTCTAGCCTGTTGGCAAGTACAACCTGGTTGTCTTGGTGTATTTGGGACTGTTTTGAGCAATTTCCGTACGAAAATCCTTAGATCCAGTAACGTGGGCATAAGTCTTAATTGGCGACTCATTTGTTGACATGTCCACCCGCCACTTTTGAGGAGTTCCCTATTAAAGAACATTTCCAGGTTTGTTGTACTCACTTGCCCAACGGACCCAGAAATAGCAGAGATGAACGGTGATCACCTGAGTGGTAGCTTAAAGGAACAACTACCCAGCTTCTGACTTGATGACCCCCAGAAACAGTAAAGCGCTAGTGAAGAAAGGTCGGCTATGAGCAAGTGAGCCAAACGAGATCCTTTTGTTTTCCCTTAGGTTACAAGGCCGCGGTTTGACAAATCTGGCAACCAGCCCCACGCCTGTCTCTCTTGGGTCTTGTTTAAACACATGGCAACTTGTGTGTTTGTTTTGAGGGACCCTTTCGGGGTTGATCTACAAACCCAAAAGGGAAGCCGACCATTTTGGGGGCTCCCCTTAAAAAAACATTTCCTGAGTGACGCGACCGAAGAAGCTCAACCCAACTTGTTGTGAAGCCCACTAAAACGGCAAGCAAATCCAACACGTGAGACCATGAGACCAAAGCCCGAGTCACGAAACTCAGGAAGTCAGACTCAGGAACAATACCATCGTAAATGTCAACAAACAATGGTTTCAACCATGGCTTCCTAGGTGGTGCGAATGGATTTCGTCCATCCACAGACCAGCTTGGCGAATCGAGCACCCCAGCAGCGACTCAGGTGACACAGGGATCCTTACATTCTACACCTGAACATTGCCTTGTAAATAGTGGTTTCCCTTTATGTTTGTGGAAAAAGCAACATGTGTCAAATGGTTGCAACATGGAGATCTTTTAAGGAGCCCTGTGACACATCCCATCTTTCAACTCCCCGGCCTGAGAGGCCGCCATCCCCCTCCAGCTGCCAAAGCGAGAAGGGCTCGCACCCATAGTCCGTGACCCAGCAGTCACGGTAAATCCCTGCGCGCTTTTGGCTGTGAAACTGTGGGGTTACGTTACGGCCTCACAGTTGGTTTAGGCTGGCCCCATCTGGCCCCACTAACCCTGCCAGCAGTCACCCGCAAGTGGTACTGTGGATGGACGAAATCCTGCACCTACTAAGAAACCCTGGAATGACGATTTCCGTGCCGACAAACGTGGTTTCCCATGGTTTTAAAGTGTTGCAGGGGTTTGTCCATCCAAAGTATTCTTTGCAAAAGGGAATGGCTCTGACTTTGATCAGCCCGGAATGGGTAGCACAATGACCCCCGCGAGGTTGGCACAGGAAGTTGAGGGCTAGGAACGTTGGCGGTTATCTTTTTTTGCTTTTCAGCCAATCCGATCTTTGTTTCACCCGTATGGGTGTGTCTTTGTTTTTGTTGTGGGTACCTTATCTTTTTGTGGGCTTCGCGGGGAAACCAAAAGAACAATCAGACCAATCTTCGGACACGCCCATTTTAGGCGCGCCTATAGGCAACCCGGAAAACCCATTACGGACAACCTGGATGTCATAGTAAATATCCTGGTTGCCTGCTATGGTGGCTTACCTGAATCCCCCGGGTAAGTCAAGGTGTGGTTGTCCGGAGGGTCCAAGAAGGCCAGGTGTGAGTCTCTGAAGGAACTTCACCAAAAACAATGTAACAAAAAAAAACAAGCCGGGGCAGGTGCAAGAGTTTGCAAACCGCAAGCTCCAGCCCCTCCAAACACGGATTTGATTTGTATGGTGAAACCCTGACATCGTAAGCTGGTACTGGCTGGTTAAAAGTAGGTACCCAAAATGGACCCTAGTAAATGAAAACATGGACCAAAACCTGCGGTCCAATTCCTAGTGGTTCAATTTTGACCCACACCCGAACCATGGCCTTGGGCGCACTGATCACATTGATTGCCGTAGGAGTTGTCATTCATCCGGTTCTTCCGCATGTTCTGCATGGCCCAGTTCTGAACGTCATACCTGAGATGCATTGCGTCAAAAATGCGGCCATTTCCGCGTTTACTTTAAAAAACATCCCCCAGTGACATTGACATTTGAAGACAAAAAATCAGTGTTGAATTGTTCAATTATTTAATTGTTCCATTTCAGTACGTGTTGTTTACTTTGTAAAAATTATCATTGACAGTTGAAGACAAGAAAGCAGTGGCTAAACTGTCAAGTTGGTGAGTCTATTCAATGTCATCCCCTTTCCCACGGAAGCTGATGGCGAATAATGACCGCTGCTCGTGTGGATTTACAGTTTGTGCAGTGTTACAGTTAAGCCTTCTGGAGAAAAACAAATTCAGTAGTGATAGATTCCCATTGAAACCAACAAGCGAAAATACAACATATTCATTTCAGAAAATGGAAGAAGATAACATTGCAGCCCTTCAAGCCTTAAGCAGAACGGCCAAATGAGAAGTGCGCAAAGTCTAGTTGGTTCTATGAAGATGGTGTCAGTTGCAAAGGCCGTACTATAAACCATTTGCAGCAAGGTGGTAGAACCGCCTACAGTAAAATGGCCACAAGGGTATTGGGCTCTGCTATAAGTAAACTTCTCCAAGAATGCTTGAAATCTGCTTGGACTGCGAATTCGCCCAACAAGGGTTGGTGTGGGTGGCAAACAACTTTGTCTCCGTGATCCTTTTCGGATCGCAGCATTTGAACAGCCACATGGTGCAAAATGGTCGCAGAGTCGCACACGTTCTGTGGTACCTGTGGTACCCAAGCAGCTCATTCACATGACCAGTGTATCACTTGGACGGGATTTCCGAAGCCCCACTCACAGAAGGTAGATCTAAGCAGCATCTCCTATATGTTGATCCCAGATTTCAATCCGGTGGTTGATTGACATCCCTGGTTGATTGAACGGCCGTGTCCCCTTTTAGCGGGGGGTCATCACTTCTGGAGGCAACATCACCTTATTGATGGGACAATTTTATTACAGTATTTAGAGGCTCGAGGGCTCATGCATGTTCAGGGCATCGTTGACTGTCATGAGGGCTTAACGAACCCCAATGCTCAGATACCCATTGCTCCGGCCCTGCCAGGAAAAGTGGGGAAGTACCACGTGTCTGTTTCTTTATTGAACTGCACGCAAAAAACAAGAACACTGGAATAATGATTTCCCTGCAAACACCAACGTGGCGCAGGAATTTGTCTATCTGCTACAGAAAATAATTCATCGTTTAAATCCAGGTTTCCTCCATATCTGGAAAACGTTAGTGGAAAATATGGCAAGATGGACAGGCGAACCCACCCCCACTTGCTGTTCTCCAAGGAACCGGCCTCGTGCCCGGAATCCATAATGGAAAGCCAAACACACGTGTATATATATATATATGGTGGTTGATCTAAATTCCTTTGTCTCGAAACGGCCATTCTTCGCGAATAAAAAAGTTACTTTCGCGAATCTTTCGCGGATTCATCGCCGTGCTCTTTTCATTTCTCGAGTCGGAGAATCGCAGCTTTTAAGTGCCAGCGTTGTAAACGAAATGACTGTAAAGTCGCAACTTTTCATCACAGGGGTAGTACATGACATGCGCCGGCTGGAAAGTCGCAGCTTTTCGTTCGCCGTGCAGCTCCAGCTTGAAGTCGCAGCTTTCCAGTACCAAGCTAGTATACTGACTAGATCGGCGCTCAGACTATACCTCCCCTTGCAATCGAAGCCTGCGCTTTCGCGCGGGCTTTCGCGGATCTTTGGCGGAACTTTCGCGAAAAATCACCCATGTTTCAGAGCGGAAAGCCACCGACTAACACCCACAGACACACATACACAGGCTTGGAGCACTAACCAGCCAAGCAGGGTATCAAACTGTAGCCTCACCAGGCTTAATCAGCGCAACATCAACAAAGTGTTTTAATCAGAATAGAAGGAAGGCTCAGCAGAAAAGCTGAACGGTTCCACATATCATTGATTAACCAGATACAGTTACGCAAAACTTTCGCGAGAAAAAAAGTTACTTTCGCAACTTCATCGCGAATCTTTCGCGGAGCTACCTCAACCAACACCGATGGTCACCGAATACTAAACTCCTTACAAGGACCTTTAGAACGACTCCCATATATGTGTTAATCCAATATGTAGGCTCTATCTCTGTGGCGATTAAAACCGGCCAAAAGTCATGTAACAAACCAAACGTGTCAAAACAAATGGGGCATGTTCAGGTTCACTACTGTGGATGGACGACATCCATTCCGCACCACTATAAAACATTATAAAACCATGGTTGAAACCATAAGGTCTGTTGGTATTTCCAGGGAACTCATCATTCCATGGTTTCTTAGGTGGTGCAGGTTTTCGTCCATAAGACAGAGAGAGAGAGAGAGTGTGCACTAAAATCGGGGCGTCCCTTCAGATGACAGGTGCCGTTTGGTTTAAAGCCCGAAAATCGGATCTGGACGAATTGGATGGTTTCCCTTTGGCTTCCCCTTAAAAACTCACTTCCTGAATGGATCGGCCAAAACAAGTCCATTTTTTTTGCTTGCCACTCAAATGGTCCATCCCCAAATCCAACCAGAGATTGAGTGAGGCAATATGGTACTGTTCTAAGCCAATGAAACAGAACACGTGAGTGTGTCTATTTTTTGGGGGGACCCCTCAAAAATGGCTTCGGTTGTCCTTTTAGTTTCGCTTTATGTAAAATCCCACGAAAAAAGAGGGTACAAACTCAAAAACAACCGAGCCTTTCTGTCTAGACAACAGTTTGGAGGTTTCTTTTGGGTGGATTTCCCCATTTTTCGCCCGGACAGCCCCCACCCCACCCCAGTTCCACCTAGGTCCTCCAGCAGGTTGAAATAAGGGTACCAACTTTTTTTCTATCGATTTGAGTAGGGAAACCGAATCTCCCAACCAAAAAGAAACGGCCAAAGTGGGCACCACTGGGAAAACCTAGCCACCCCACCTCACCCAGCCCACCCCACAGCCCCCACCCCACCCCAGTCCCACCTAGGTCCTCCAGATTGAAATAAGGGTACCAACTTTTTTCTGTAGTCTATTTTAGTAGGGCAACCGAATCTCCCCAAGAAAAGAAACGGCAAAAGTGGGCACCACTGGGAAAACCTAGCCACCCCACCTCAGCCAGCCCACCCCACAGCCCCTACCCCACCAGATCCCGCCTGGAGGCACAGCTCAGGCCAGCGAACGGGCAGCCCAGGTAATCGTGGCCCAGCACCATGCGCACGCCGTCCATGGCGTCCAGATGGAAGGTGTAATACCCTGCGAGGGATTTGTGTTTTACCCCGGGAAAACAAGGATTTCCGTGTTTCACCCAGATCCGGTGGCCGGGGGGAACACCCGGAGTTGAGTAGAAAAAATCCTGGTTGAGCTTGATTGGGGGCAGCGGAGCTAAGGCAAAGTTCTGGTTGAAGCCCGAGCCAAGTAGAAGCCCCCGTTGTCATTCCCGACCTACACCAGCAAGTTGATTGTCCTGAGGGCTTAACGAACCCACCCCTAGGGTTCCCTGCTTGCCCCAAAGAGTGGCCACCAAGGGGGACCCAACTTGGATGGTGACAATCCTAAACGGTAAACGTTTTGGTGGTTAAATGTTTGCACCCCATGGTATTTAGTTTTATCCCAGAAACGGGGGGGTGGACCCTAGAAACGAGCAGCAGAACCCTGTACCCTGCAAAGGATATTGTTCCCCCCCACAACATCTCGGAGACACCCTGTAGTGGTAACTGGATCCTCTGGAGAACTGCTTGGCTGCCAGTTGGTCGATTTTTAGACAACCAAAGTCAAGAAAACCAAAAGATTTGGGCGTCAGTTCACATGGAAGCAAAAGCCGCCCGCCTTGGACGTAGATGTAGACATACCTCAGTTGAAGGATTCCGAAATACAAGGTGAACCTGATGGGGTCATGGCTACAAATGAACAAATATTTCTAGTAGTCAAATCTATTATTTCTAAAACCAGGGGAAAGTAAAACATACTGTGGATGGACGACATCCTGCCCACCTAAGAAACCATGGAAAAATGATTCCCATGCAAATACCGACAAGCAATGGCTGCCCATGATTTCCACTTGGTGCGAAGATGGATGTCGCCACCATCCACAGTATTCTTGGGCAAATGGAAGGATAAAAGGCGAACAGGTTGACTCACTTCCTGAGTGGATAGCCCAAAAAAAGCAGCCAAACTTTGCATTTACCACCAAACAGTTCCAAATAAGGTCCAAGCCCAAAAAGTGGCCTACTGTGGATGGACGAAATTTATTGTCGCACCACTTGGAAACCATAGGAAGCCATTGTTTATTGGTATTTACAAGGGAATCATCATTCCAGGGTTTCTTCGGTGGTGCGAAACGGATTTCGCAACCATCCACAGTACCTGGAGTCTCCTTCTGACCCTTTAAAAACGGGTTCATGACCCGTTTATTTTGGGTAATGACCAACCATTTTCTAAGGGTCGGAGAGGAGACTCCAGGTCGGATTTGTTCATCCACAGTATGTGTCCTTTTTGGTTGGTTTGCTGAAACAAAATAGAGGGCGATTCCTGGTTTACCTGGTGGTTCAATCATCTTCCAGGGAAACCAATCTATTCTCCAAAAAGGACACTTATGGAGTGAACCACACCTATGGAGTGAACCTTTTCACTGTATGGTTTTCACTGTATGGCCATGGACCCCTTTTTTCTGATTCGTCTATTTTAGTAGGGGAACCGAATTTCTCCCCCCAAAAAAGGGGAGCGCAGGGCACTACTCAGGACCTAGGTATGGTCGAAACTCGCTTCTGCAACCGAGTGGCCCTGTGAACCTGGCCGCGAAGTTCTTCAGGAGCTCATCTTGGCCGCGGCAGGACCACATCAGGTCGAAGCCTGTGAGGTCCTGGACGCGACCAGAACCAATTGGTCTAGGCAGCCCTTTCCCAACACTTGGCTGGAATTAGGACCCCAGCCAAAAATTTTTTTTTGCCTGGATAGTGGAAAACAAAGGAAACCCCAAAAAAGCAAAAAACACAAAAACGGAGCTAATTCTGGTGAAGCACACACGTGCCATTTCCATGGGCGAACCAAAGGTTTTCCATGGACCCAGCGACTTGGTCTAGGGGCAAAGCTACAGAAGGGCCGCTTTGGGTGATAGATTCCCTTCAAAACCAACAGGGGAACATAAAACAAAATCGCCTGAAGCAAATGGAAGTGTATATATATATATGGTTCTAGGGCTACCTTCCATTTCCATTATTTCCAGGGATCCGAATCTTTTCAGGAAACCATCAAAAACCCAGGGGGAAACAGCCGGTTTTTTAGAAGAACGATGGTTGAAAATAATTGGGAATCAACCCCTAGAACTGGTATGGGTACAGGGTACAGAAGCTTGGTTGCTGCAACAACCCCCCCTGCAAAAAGTGAATCACTTTTTGGGGGGTTTAGTGGAAACCCCCTTGATGTCCCAAAAAGTTGAAGTCTAAAGATCCAACCCAATAGCAATCAAGAGAAGGGCGTGGTGGTCCAAAATGGGTACCCAGTTTTGAAACCCCGGGTAAACGGAAGCATGGACTAAAACCTGTGCGGTTGTTTGGTGGTGTAAGTTTGACCCATACCCAGAAGGGCTGAGAAAACACGGCAACATACGTGTGGTTATTGACAACTGTTCCGGGATTTTGACCCATGGCCATATGAGCCATGGTCGCGTTTCTCCCTTTCTGCTGGATTCCTGAGTCACAGGCCGACACCCAACACCGAACTAGGTACAGTGCCAACCACTGACTCGAGAACTGGAGGAATCTACCATTCTAGGGGTTGATTCCGACTACATTATTTTCAACCATCGTTCTTTCCAAAAACCGGCCGTTTTCCCTCGGTTTCCGGAGGTTTTCTAGAAAGAAGGATCCCTGGAAAGAATGGGGAAGGTCCTAAGGTACCCCCAGAACCATGGAAAACCTTGTTCGCCGATGAAAAACATGGCACGTGTGTGGAGATCATTCTCTGTGTGTCATATGGAGGTCAGTGAAAATCATCGAAAGGTCATGACTCCTGCATTGAAATCGACATGACTTCGTGTGAAGAGACCGGGTTCTTCACAATCCACCCAACTGAAAGCGCCGGGTATTCGTGGGTAGAAGTTTGGCTGGGTTGCATGGACCCCGGAAGGAAACTTTTTAAATTTACTTTTTTCAAGATCGCCGACCTTTTTGATGGGGTTACTATAATGGCTCCGTTTCAGGAAAAGGTGCCAAGTGTCTTTTCAATCACTGAGTTGCCAGCTTTCGGCCCCGCACATCAAAGTTTGTTTTGTCAAACTAAAAGGGGGCCAAACATGGGATCCCGTTGCCTTTTTGCGGAAAAGGTTGTTGCGTTGTAGGGACCCACAAATAATAAAAGGCAAGTACCTTTTGGCGCTAAAATAACAATGGCGCAACGGTGTTCCTTTTGGTTCCCAACCACCAAAAAAGGGGTCCCTGAAAGAAGCACAATCTTTGGGGGCCACTAAAAATGTGAATCCATTAAGGGGAAACTAAAAGGTTGAATCCGGTCGATTCGCTTTCGGGTGAGAATATCCCAGACAGCCATGACCAGCTTCCTTCTCCCACGCACAGCGGTCGATTTTGAAGGCATTCAGGTCCAGGAAATCTAGCCTGTCGCAATGAAATGCAAACGTCAAGCTTGCCAAAAGCAACAAACGGCATCGAGTTGGGTGTGTCTTAAAGAAGGGAACCCCTCGCCCTCCAAACTTGTGCTTTTCCCGCCTTTTCCTGCATTTGCTTTAGTCCCCAGGAAAAAACACATCGAGTGGTGATATATACGTGTGTGTGTGTGTTAGAGAAATGGAGGAAAACATCTTAAAGCAAGTGGAAGTCTTGGGTGATCTTCAAGCAAGACACGCCCCAATACAGCATGATTTCGGGCACTTCCAAAACGGGATCCGTCGGTTCTGTGCGCGAAGTGCCCCGTGATTACTGGTCCACAAAGCACAGTCTCCTTGGACGAGAGGGGTCCGTACAGGACATCTTACCCAAATGGGCGGCTCGTCAGTTCTTTCGGGGACACCACAAATTGCTTTGGTTTCCTTCCAATCTGCCTTTGAACTGACCACCAACAGTCACGCTTCAAACCAGAAAAAAGGGGAGAAAGCGCGACATAGTCATTCTATTTCCCCTCTACACATCGCACCTGCTTAGGAACAAAACACATGCAACACAAAAGGGAACTGCAATGCGTTGATGCTTACAAGGACAAGGCTCATGTATGTGAAAACCCTGCGAACAGCAACGTTCATCTACCACACGTGATCCTTTTGAACAGGAATATACCCCCTTGTAACCCAGTTTACTACCCGCTTACTGACTTGGTCAAGCACCCAAGCACCCGAGCACCAATTGGAGGCAAGTTGGAACTGAGTTTCCCTTTGGGGTAATGTTCAAAGAGGAAATAACCAAAACCCTGTGAGGAGACCCCCTTGTCGGGATCTTCACAATGTTTCCCACCCCAAACCCTTGACCCAAAAAAAGGCTGGATGCGCACCCTTTGTAGGGAATCGTCGTTACTCCACATACAAGATTCTCCTACCCAGAGGCTCCAATTCGATTGATTTAGGGCCTTCAAACAACCTGGTGTTGAGAGGGGTGTCTAATGGAGGGGTCGGGTCTTCCATTGAAAGCCCCAGGAGCCTCTGGGTATACAAATGTTACGATAAACCGGGCGTTGTATGGTAGATACCTCCTTTTTCATTGGATTGGGATCATACTGAAACAACAAGTGAGTCATAATCAACACCTGGTAATAAAATGGTGTACCCAAAACCATGTAAAGAGCTAAATTGGCGGAAGTCCGCAGCCTTTCACATGGTTGCAACTAGCCCTTACTAACCTTCATCTATCCGGGTTCTGATTGTGGAACAACATGGGTGCCCCGGATGTTGTCCATCCACGGTTTGCAGCCAAACCTTCAACCACTCAAACGCCACAAACTTCACCATTGATGAGGTCAACCGGTTAACCAATCAGATGATTCTGGCTCAAGTGATAGAGTGGATGGTTGCGAAATCCACTTCGCACCGTTCAGAAACCCAAAGGAACGATTCGTTTCAAACCTTCAGGTTTCATTCCCGTGGCTTCTCATTTCGTGGTGAAACCGCGGGGATGTCGTCCATCCAAGGTTTCCAGCCAAACGCCACAAACTTTACGATGAGGTTAACCCATCAGGCTCAAGTATTTTTGTTTTTGACACTCAAATTACAGGGCAACTACCTGGAGTCTCCCTAAGGACCCGATAAAAACATGGGTGTCACTACCCAAAAGAATTGGGGCATGGACCCATTTTTCAAGGGTCCTTAAAAAGACTCCAGGTACAGGGGACCCGTCAGAAACGCTGGCGCCTGAGCTCGCGCCGGGCCAGGTTAGGCAGCCGTTCCTTCAGCACCTCGCATATTTTTCGCGTCCGGGCAAAGGCTTCGGCTACGACGTGACCAACTTGCCCCGGGCGGGAGGGGGGGGTGGCAGGGAGTGCTCAGCAGGGAATGAGAAATGGAATGACCCTTATAATTATATCTAGCGGTTGATTCCTTGATTCCCCATTCTTTTCAGCCATCATTCGCTTCAAAAAGCAGCCGTTTGCCCTGGGATTTTGATGGTTTCCTGAAAAGAAGGATCCCTGGAAGGAATGGGGGAGCTAGCCCTAGATTATAAACCATCCAACCAGGGAATCCCTCGGTTCATTCCCACATTCCCTGCTGAGCACTAGCAAGTTTAGCGGTAAGGGCGAATCCAGCACCTCATCTTCATGGATGGGCCAAACAAGTAACCAAACTGTTTAACACTAAAACGGTCCCAAAAGGTGACTAACTCCAGGAACGGAACCTGAGGGTGGCCCATGTCTACACAGTGTAGTGTGTATTGTGGCAGTGGAAGGTCCTGGATGTGGTCCCTCAAAAACTGGAACATAGTCCATGTCCTATCGGGATCTGGTAACACTGGACAACAAAAATCCACACGAACAGGTCCAGGGTCTAGGGAGGCAGGGTCTAACCTCTAAGGCTGATCTAGGCTCCAAGGGTCTAGGGTCGGGTGGGTCTTTCACCAGTTCAGATAGGTGGTGTTCTCCATCCCAGCCACCTGGCGTCAGAAAAAGTCTAAGTCTCTAGAGTCTTTGTAAGGACCCGAAATACAAATGGTTGGTCATTACCCAAAATCATGGGGTCATGACCAACCACGTTTCAAGGGTATGGAGACTCGGAGACTCCAGGTACCGACTTCAGGCCTGTTTTTTTCTTTATATGGCTTTCGCTTGAACCCTTTTTGTTCGTCCCACAACCTGAAAAACCAAGCCCTGAACAAGTTATGTTGCTCATCCCTTATGAACCTCGGTTGTAGAACAGGCCAACCTATTTTCCTGGTTAAACCAACATCTGAAAGGCCAAAGCAAGAACTCATCTCTGCAGGGATCCTGTTTTGCCAACCACGAACTGCTTTGTTTAGCCTCGAGCACCTTTCGGAATATGGGCTAAAGAAAAAGGTGGGTTTGCACAAACGGGGGCCCGTGTGGATGTGGACAAAATATTGCTTGGTCGACCCCCAACATCTCTTTAGGGACCCTCAGTTGTTCAGTGACCCTGGAAAAAAAGGGAACCCATTTTTGGGAAGACCATTTTAGTGGGGCAGCCACAAAAAAAAAGGGGGGAGCCACTGAACAACTGAGGACCAAGAGGCCAAACATGAGTGTCTTCTTTGACCGCTCGGTCAAAACCTCCCCTGAGAAAAGCATCACCCCTACCAGGGCCCTAGCAAGGCAAACTCACCTATGGCCCAAAAGGTGCTGTCTAAAGCCACAATTAAAAAGGACATGGACGTCTCTTTTTGCAGGGGGAAAGCAAAAAGGAGGGTGTCCCTGACTTGTTGCTTAAACCGCCAAAAGGGGTACCCCTCTAAACAAAAAAACCCAAATATACTCACTTCCTGAGTGGACTGGCCAAACAAAGTCCAGACTTTTTGTTTGGCACTAGAATGGTCCTGACTAAAGTCCGAAACGGAACTCGAGAAGTGAGTTTTTGGCGACCCGGTCAAGCCCAATCCGTGGCTGCGAGATGTCTTTCTTTGAGTCGCCTGAGTGGACCCGTTCACCGGATCGCAGGTCTCAGAAGGCGGGAGTGGCGCAAAGTACTCCGCCAACAGCCCCGTGTTCTCATAGAGATCCTCACGTGAAGATCCGATTCACAAGATCGGTCCGGACAAGGAAAATACGGAAACGCACCTCCGTGCCCCTTTTGTGGCTTCCCTTTGGGTAGATTCAAACGGTGGCTATCGATCGCAGGGTTGCTCCAACTGATTCCCGATGTTGGCCCGAAAAGGATCACCAATTCGCCTTTTTGTTTTACCACTGAAACTCTCGTCCCCTTGCAGCTGTTGGGGGAAATGAACCAACCGGGGGAAGAACAAGTGAAATCCACAAGCACATCCAAGCCGATTTCTAAAACGAACATGGTCCAACCTTCGACTCGGGACGAGTTTCTCGCACCAAACCGACGGAGTGGCCGGCTTGAAGCCGAAAACAGGTCACCAAACTTTGTGTGAAGCTACGAAACTGGTCTTCCGAAGAAGTGACAGTCAAGAAACCCTTCGTAGTGAATCAACTCTTTGTCGCTCGACAACTCTCAGCCGATGCTAGCTAATCACTTTCCCAGGAGTCCCTTCGCCTCCAGATTTCGTGAGGGAGAAAGGTACCTGGAGGATCCATGACCGTGACCAACCATTACTTTTGGTAATCCCATTGTTACGTTCTTTTTCAGGATCATGGAGACTCCAGGTACAAAGTCTTCTGGGTGGTTCGGGGAGGGTTGTTCAGAAACCTCACACCGGCAAACCTCCGCTCCTGGCCGAAGGCAGCGGGCAAAGCCAGCAGCCACCGCAACATCAGCGCGCCATCAGCGGCCTCTAACCCTACGTTCAAGCGCCTGAGCGCCTGTCGCTCCGCTCGACCGACAGGAGCACTTCGGTCCGCATGTACCGAAGAGTACATGTGTCTATAATGCGGAAGCGGGCTTGTCATCTATTCGGATGTGTTAAACTCATTTGCATCCATCGACAGCTAGCCTCGAGACAACTGGCCGATGTCAATCAAACTGGCTTAGTTGAAGCTTGGTTTCAATTGGCTTTGCTGGAATTTCTCTATCGCAATGTCGTGATCAAGCATCACTGCGAACATGGGTAAACCAGTCACGGGCGCTTCCAGAAGCGCGGCAGTCGTCAACCTGCACATTTTGCTATACTCGGTTGCAGAGTTCTGCTCCCCTGCTCAAAGTTTAACTTTTAGTGGTTTAGTGGAAAACCCATTAGTTGGCAAAAAGTTGTTCAGTCCTAGCAGCCAAGCAAAATGCACCCAAGTTTATACATCCAAAAGCTGAATTAAAGGATCCCGAAGTGCGGGGCCCGTATCAGGGTGAGCTCTTTATACCCCCAGGTGAGCTCGCTGTAAACTAGGCAGATCAATGGTTGAGCTGGGCAAACATGTTGTGAAGACTCGCATCTCTGAGCCCAGAATTCAGCTGGACACCGGCCAGGTTTGAGAGATCTGACAAAGGCAAGTACACACAAGCCCCAACCGAAAATAGATGTCTGTCTCTTGGGGTATATCCGCTTCACCTTGACAGGGAAACCCAAAGAACAACCATCTTTCTTGGGGGGTCCCCTAATTTGACACAATGTGAGGTTTTCTGCACATATGTGCAAAACCAAGCCCACTTTACAGTGGTCTACGCATATGTTGGCCGTGACTCACATGAACCGTATATTGTTCACCCTGGTTTACAGGGAAACCAAAAGAACAGCCACCTTTCTTGGGGGTCCCCTAATCTGTCCACACCTTCGTGAGATCTTAATTTAGCAGCTCGACATGTCATGCTGGACGTTCCAACTCTTGGCGTGGTTGTAGAAAACTTGTTGCTTTGCCCCCCCTACTAAACCTCAGCAACAATGCAACCTGCTACACATAAACAATCCCCAAGAATCAAAAACAACAACCAACTTGCCAACAACAGTGAATGACCCTCAGAGAGAACCTCGAGACGTATTCTCACTTTAGTTTGGCCCAAGTGGTGAGGTCTGAATTTTCCTAATGGTGGTTTCAGTTCACTGTCAAACCAACCGACATGTGGGTGTGGCTCAAAAAACCGGAATTCCAAAATGGATCCCTGGCAAGTGGAAACATGGACCAAAACCAGCGGTTTGCCCCTCCGATCGTTTAATTTTGAGTCTCAAGGACGAAAAAAAACGCTCCGAAGGGGGCTCACTCCGGGCCTTGCAGCTCGAATCTGCTCGTGTTCCGAGAGACTGGGCCTTGTTTCAGATGTCAAACCCAAACTAAAGAAGAACCTAGAGTCTCCATGACCCCTAGAAAAAGGGGTCATGACCCAAAAACTTTGGGTAATGACCCAATTTTTTGGGGTCAGAGGGAGACTCTAGGAAGGTATCTAAAAACCGGCAACACCTGGCTCGCTACAATGGGGGAGAATGAGCTGGCAGACCATGGAACTATGCTTTCTACATGGGGGTTGATCAATATTCCTTCGGCCCAGTTTTGATCTTCCCAGAGGCTCCTGGGACTTTCAATGGAAGACCCGACCCCTCCATTAGACACCCCGGAGGTGGTTGGGGGTCTCAAAACCAGGGTGTTTGAAGGCCCTAAATCAATCGGGAGCCTCTGGGTTGGATAACTTTTCCCAGGTGGTTGACATATCTTCTCTTTTCTCGTGGTTTTCCTAGCAATGATCATCCCATGCTGACTCTGAATGACCACAAGCAAGGTAAAGCAGCCTTTGATCAACCCCCACATGAGCGACGGTTACGAATGTTTCCCCCGGGAGGATCTGGGAAATTCATTGTTCGGTTTCACAGGGTTGAAAAAAAAAAACCTTCCCATGCCCGTCTCAAATAGACCGCCTGGCTGGCAGTATACTGTCCTCGACTGTGTCAAACATCTTGTCCTGGTGTCCCTTTTCAGCTCCCCTTGTTGTCTTTTCGTTTTAAGTCAGTCAATGAAACCAGTCTTGGACATTGCGACCAAACCTCACATGGGTCAAAAATATGCACACAAAATGGAACCCTGGTAAATGGAAACAACGACTAGAACCTGCGGTTTGCTGGCTTAATTTTGACCCACACCCACATGGAGATTCACCTGGCAACGAAAAAAAAAGGGGCCGAAACTTGGTTGACGGAGCAAACATTAAATTTTTAGCCGTATAAGCAACAATGTACAATATGTCCCAACAACAACCATGGAAAGGGCCCAAAAGGGAGTCGTAGCTCAAGCAACAAGGTCCCAAAGCAGAACGTTTCTTACTTAGGTTGTCCAGAGAAAGTCCAAACTTTTGGCCTGCCACTAAAATGGTGCAACCCAAAAGTATAAAGTTCAGGACCCCAGGAAGTGAGGAAATGAGACTTCCGTATGTCGTGGCCTGTCTGGAAGTTTGAGTCCGGGTCCTCATTGTTTGCGGGGTCCTCGAAAAGGCTTCGTAAAGTTGCTTCTGATGCCGAAGGAAGAAAAACACCACAAGCAAGAAACACAATGCAACCCCAAAGTCAAATCGAGTTCGGTCTTGATCCCTGCAAAAAGAGCTTGTAATGGGGAAAATTTGAATTTCTTCATGAGATCCGGAAAGTGCAAAGTTTAAAGGTCGCAGTACAGAGAAAATATTCGATGACGGCCAAACAGCTGTTTCAACTGGACTCCCGAATGAGGCAGCTGTGAGCGCAATCACGATTGCTCGGCTCGAATGCGCCTCGATCTGCGCGGCTTGCTCAAAGCCTCAAATAAAACTCGAAGTGAAATGCTTGGTGCGCTGCGCTTGAGGGTAGGGGAGGGGTTCTTTTTGAGGTGTGTTGGCGCCCTATCTTGGTGTACCCTATTTTGAGACGCCCATTTTGGGGTCACGTGATCATCATCAGGTCGTTGACTAGCATGTGGCAGGCTGGCTCCGTAGGGGTCCTTGCTAGTGTGGTGAAAATGAGGTTGGTTGGGTACCACCAGCTTTGGGCAAACTTGTTTCAACCCCAGCGCCCTTGTTTCCTGCAATTAGAAACCAAAGAACATTGTGGCTTAAACATGCTCCCGCAGAACGTCACGTTCGCCCACAGATCACCAGTTGCCGCACTTTCGGGTTTCTGGGTGGGGCAATGTGTCTTCTCTTTGTTGACCAGCAACACAGTTTAGGGTTGGGGGGGTTCGGGTTTCTGGGTGGGGGAGCAATGTGTCTTCTCTGAAGAACAAAGCCGAGCTGGCTGCCTGCGCTTTGCGGCGGGGGCCGGGGGCGCAAAGGCGCGGCAAACGCAGAGTTCTGGGCGCACATGTTTCAACAAGGGTGCCCAATTTGCTTTTGCTCAGAAAAAAATAGGTTTAGGTCAGTTTAAAGACAAAGCAAAAAGGACACCACAGCTTTTTTGGGAGCCGTATTCTGACGCGTACTGTTGACCTACCCCTTTCAAATAATTATGACGGTGCCAAAACAGTCTTAGAAGGCTGAAAAAGGAGTTGGCACTCCCCAAAACTTGGTGGCTACTGGCTATTGCCCCCTGCGCAAACACAATAGCTTTTGCCGGTCAGCGAGAAAGTGCGATATCTTCAAAAAAACGCAGCTTCCACGAGAGGGAAGATACATTTCCATCCAAATAGAACCCGGTGGATCCCAAGTTACCACTATTCCTTGACAGAAAAAGTCCAACCTTTTGATGTGAAACTCAATTGGTCTTCCTCAAAAGTGACTACCTGGAGTCTCCCTAAGGACCCTTTAAAAATGCTTGGTCATAGACCCATTGTTAAAGGGTCATGGAGCCTCCAAGTAAAGTCCAGGTACTTGGGGTCAGAGCATCAATGTCACCCCCGAAAGCTCCTGGGAAAAGGGCGCCGACTATGACGAGCACTGGGGGTAAATGGATTCACTGGGGGTACTTGGTCGATTCGCCGAGGAAGTTGTTGCCCACTTTTGGGCCCCTGCAGGTGGGGTTAGCCAATTGTTCTTACGGGTAGGAACCCAAGTTGCTAAGCACCTACCAACTTGGCCGAACATTCAACAAGGTTTAATCCCACTGAAGGGGGGACTTACAGGTTATCACCGAACGGTTACCAACAACCTGGAGTCTCCATGACCCTTTACGAATGGGTCCATGACCCCATTTTTTGGGTAAGGACCCCGTTGTTAAAGGGTCAGAACTTGGTTGACGTTGGAAAGGGAGCAAACATTCTCAAATTTTAGCAGTCAAGTGAAGATTTCAACCACTCAACCACAATAAGCAAAAATGGGCAACATGTAAAACCCAACGACAAGCAAGAGAAGGAGACTCCAGGAACTCACTTGGCGAATCGACAAGCCCAAAGAGATGCGAGACTCGAAGCCGGGGCCCCCCGCTCGCACTCTCCGGACCCGAGCCCTCCGGTCCAGCCGGTGCGTACGTCTCGGGGGACTGCGCCTCGAGGTGAAAAAACGGGAGGGGTGGAGCGTCAACAGGAAGCGCTTCCCGTCTTGGTTGCTGTTGACCCCTGCAAAAAGTCAATCACTTTTTGGGAAGGTTCGTGGAAAAAACCCTGGATTTCCCAAGTTAAAGTCTAAAGATCCAACCCAATAGCAGTCAAGCTGTGACCCTCGGATTCAAGCCCGATGAAATTAACGGAGTCCATTCGGATGAAACTCTTTCGGTCAATGGTAGAACATGTTGACCCCAGATTACTAAACTTGTCCTATGGGACGTGTTCCCCTCCAATAGTCATAAATTCCCCCTGAAAAGCTCACCCCCCTTGTTAAATGAACCAGGGGTTTATTCCTCCGGGGTGTTTCAATCATCTGAACCCCCATTGCTTCGCACCAGCGGTTGACCGTATTTCCAATACTAAGTTGCTGTATCGCAAGCATATCCGACATTCAAAGCACTACCTACCAAGAAAATCGAGTGGCATCGCAAAGCTTGCAGTAACGAACCGTATCGTCATCGAACCAACCAGGGGTGTCTTTTTGCCAACCCTTTGAGAAAATTGGCGACCCGCACAAGGAATCCCTCACCACGAGGGGGTCGATGCGACGCCTCATCCTCATCCTCCCCTGCCTGGCGAACGCGTTCGACGCCGGACGCAGGTTCCCTCTCTGCCTCTCCTTCTGATCCTTTAAAAATGAATCCATGACCCCATTATTTTTGGTAATCACCGCCCATTTTTGAAGGGTCGGAAGGAGACTCCAGGTGCCGGCCAGCAAAACCCTTCAACCATTCACCTTCTGGAGGTCTAAGAACAAAGAAGCTGCTTTCTAACAAACCAGTTGCAGAAAATTGCAAAGGAAATCATTGGTAGGTTTGGGAGTGTGGTCCATCTTCGATAGAAATTCATGTGGCTGGCTTTATACAGTCACGGGACCCCAAAATGGGGTCTCCTCCAAGACTCTTTTGTGTGGGGCAGACTAAATGTGTAGCAGAATCTGACAACATGGGTGTGTTTTGTTTTGGAGTTGTAACCCTTGTTCGTGGGTTTAAAGGAAAACCAGCAGGAAAACCTACCGTAAAACACGACACAGCCATGATGGAATTTCTGTGCAGATGTGGGCAGTAAACGGGTTCTGAAAGGGGTTCAGCTTGCAACAAAGGGCAATCATGTGTGGATCAGAACCAA